TTGATCCCTGAAATCTTTGGTAATACCAATGTTCACTTTGTCTGGTTTTGTTGCAGCATGCCCCATATGAAATGATTAAAAAAAAACCTGTTTTTTTTCGTGGTTTTTATTTTTATTTTGTGAATTCTTATCAAATTTGGCAAAACAACAAATACAGTGCAGATCGTCAATAGTCAAAGCTGCGACTCTAACCTATCAGTTAGATATTTAATATTAGGAAAATATTAAAATTTTATCAAATTTCATGTAACAATGATTTTTTTTTTCAAAATATAATGATGTGTTTTATTATTGTAATTGTAATGGCAATAGGTCCTGCAACCTAACATTCACTTTATCCGGTCTTATGGCAACTAGTGTTTGTTGTCAAAATCATTTTGAAGAGGCGAAAGTCAAACTAAAGTTAAAAGTTATATGTCAAAACTAAATCAAAAGTCAAAAGTCAAAACCAGTTTTGACTTTCGCACAGTTGCGAAACTCTATAGCTTTGGAAACCAACACTAGTTTCAATATGGCTCACACATAATAATAAATTCATTATAGGAATACAGAATTGTTTTGCTTGTACTCATAGTAACTAGGTCTCAAATTAAATGTTTTAATTTGCCTGAACGTGATAAAAAAAACAAGGTTTAATTTTACTGCTTCGTCAAGAGCTTTTAAATCGACAAAATGGCTCTTGGAGAGAAACCACCTTTATAGTCAATATTTTAGTCACGTTCGACGACTAAAGTAAAAAATATCGTCATACATCACATACATCATTAGTCAAGAATTTTTATTTAATCGACTGTCCTTCACTTTAGTCAAGGTTTTTACTTTAATCAAAGGTAATGACAAAACTTTTGACTTTAATCATTGACGCGACTAAAGGCGGCTTCTCACCAAGAGCCATTTTGTCGATTAAAAGCTCTTGACGAAGTAGTAAAATTAAAACTTATTTTTTTTTATCGCTCTCAGGCAAATTGAAAACATTTAATTCAGGCTTAATCACTATTCTGGATTCCTATAATGAATTTATTATTATATACGAGGCTAAACTAGACAAAGTGGACATTCATTCTATGACCACAGTAAGATTTTATTCGATCAGATATGTCATTAATTGATAATGAACGTTTTAATCCCAATTCATAAAGAAAACCATTACTTAATTGAGCTATTGTTTTATGATAACTATCGTTATTGTTATTATTATTTGGTGATATAATAAAATCACCAATTGGGAACAGTTTTTCATCATCAAAGAAGAATTCTAGAAGCTCTGGATCGTAAAGTTCCTTCGGTTTAGATAATACAATTTTATCATCACCTGCTGCTTTTCCTTGGACCATCAATATCGATCCACTAGGTACAAATTTAGTCTCTGATAATTGCTCTTTAAACTCATTATCATTTGTCATAAGTACAGGTGATACTTCAAAAAGTCTTTTGATAACTAATTTAATTTCATCAAAATTACGTTTTTCCAAATATGGTAAAACAAATTCCTTCCAATATCTTACATGCTGTAGACGTGGAATTTTGATTACATCTTCAAGAAGATATCTGTAACTGTCACTACTATCAGTTCCAACATGTAAAAATACATCTTTATTTTTTGGCACAATAATTTTTCCATAAGATTGTTCATCTTCTGTTGGTAGAAGAAACCATTGTTTATTAGTTCCAATCAAATTAATCAATTTGTCATTTTCATCTACCTCACTATATATAGGAAGATATTTTAAAACTTCGATAATATAATTTTTAGGTTCTAGCAATAACTGATCTAGTCCGGTATATTTTTTCAAATATTTTGCTAAATAATTTTGAAAATAAAAGAGAATTTTGTTTATTTAATTGATGTGGTAATAAGTTGTTTGGATATTGTCTATTGGATTTCAATGACTTTAATACTGCTACTACATCTGTGATGTTGAATACATATTTTTTTAATCTGGTTTCTTTTGGTGCAAAATTTTCATTGAATTCTTTTTCAACAAAAACAAGTCCAAACGATTTAAGAATGATAATTAT